GTAACTGTGTTGACTGGCTACTCTGTATATTGTCAGCAAGACAAGCTTAGGAGACTTTGGGGAACTTATGTTTTTTTCCCATTCAACCAAATAACTTTCAGGTGTATCATCTTTTGTCAAATAACATAGAAACCTTAAGCTTAAGCTAATAGAGAATGAGTGAGGTCTAAACCTAAAGGAAATTGCTTGCACTATCCTTGAGTTTTATATTAGGCTAAGTATAAAAAAATTGAACAGGGAAATTAGAAAATTGTGTAGCACAAAATGATAATCAATATATGAAAAAACTTGGTGAACAAGAAGCAAATGAAATCTATGGCAGAGTTATTTGAAGTAGGGCTGAGACCTCTGTTACCCGCCTGTGACAAGACAGATATAGGAAGTCACAGAAACGTGATGGTGCCTATCATTTTCATTGTACCTTACAGTCATTTTAAGTGTGGCCTTTAGGAATTAAATCCACAAAACTCTTATCTTGAGGTTCTATTTTAAAGATTAAAAATTAAGAATCTCAAAGAAAAGGATGTTTGTGTTGGTCTATTATCTTTGCTTTATTGGGACTATTTTAAAAAATAGCAATGAGAATGACTGCCGGGGAGGGGGTGGTGTAATGATATTTATAAATCAGGAAAAATGTATCACAGGGATGATCTCTGTGTTAGACAGTATTCTGTTGCTGTAACAAAATACCTGAGAAAATAAATTTACTTTGGCTCATGGTTTCAGTCAGTGGTCAATTGCTCTATTGCTTTTGGGTCTGTGACAAGGCAGAAACATCATGGCAGAAGATTATGGCAGAGCAAAGTTGCTCATCTCATAGACAGCCAGCAAGGAGGGAGAAAGAGAGAGAAGGGAAGGTTCTGTGAACAAAATGGTCTTCAAAGGTACACCCCTGATGCCCTACTTCCTCCAACCAAGCTTTACCTCATGATTAATCACCTCTCAAAAGCCCATCAGCTGGCAACCAAGACTTTAACAAATGAGCCTTTGGTGAACATTTTTAGATTCACACAATACCAACCTCCTTTCATTCACTAAATCCTACATCCGTGCTGGGTGTTGGACCTGTGTATTTGTTGTGAGGAGAAATCGCAGCTGCCTAGGCATGTGATGTCTGATGAGAAGTAATGTGTTAAAGTCCTTTCCCCTTGTGGGGAATAGAAGAACAATTACAGTTAGACAGATTTTATGTATCACACCTACATGAATGCATGATTGATACCATGAAGTTTTTCTCTAGAGTTGATTTCTAAAAATGAAAAAACAAAACAGAATCCTACAACATGATCTACAGTCCTACTTGCAAGTTTATCTTTCTCTTACATCAAGATGTCAAGTTATCAGGAATATGCTTCTCTAACTGTATCAATAGAAGTGTAAGAAGAATTGTCAGATTTCTTACTCACAAATGCCAGAATATGTGATATAAGGGAAGACCACGCACAAAATTTAATGAGTTCTCAAAGCACACAGGATGAAATTATCTGGTACGTAGAGCTACAGCACAGCCATCCCTGATTCTAGGATCTTCTTGACTGTTACCATTTTCTAGAGGGCAGGCTTTTGGAATTGGTGCTGCAACAACACTACACGTATTCTAAAGACTAATGTCTCACTTTAGGAATGACACAAGGCTCAGTGTGTGCTGCACTAAACAGTTCATATTTATTTTTTATGGAATACTACCATTCTTTTTCCTTTACAGAATTCTGGAATGTCAGCCTACTGGATGAGACTGCCTCTGGTTAAAGTTTCTCACTTACAAACTTAGATGGAGACCAAGTTTCAAGAGCAAAGTAAAAAACATTAACAAGCAATACAGTGAAAAGGAGAATGATAATCTCTTATTAGAGTAGACTATCATGAAGCCATTAACAATAGCTGAAGTGGCAAAAATTCTGTGTTAATAAAAGCTAAGGCCATGCTGAAAGTCGTCTGACATCCTGACCTACTCAGGCAAGCAGAGAACAGCTCAAATGGATAAGGCTTTTAAAATGCTATTTACTTGCATACTTGACATTCTTTTTAGCCCTGTTTTTAAAGCTCAAACCAGGGTGCAGCAAATATATGAGAACACAGTCAGGGCTAGTCAGTCTCCCTTGCTCTCCCTATACCTGCTTGGATCCTCATCCTTCTTCCAGGTTAGGTTCCAGCAAGGCTGAGTGGGCAGAGTCACTCTTGCCTGTGAACTTGGAAAGAAGGTTCTGAACTGCTGCTGTTCAAATAACCTCTGATAAGGTCCCATTCTCAGATGGAAGGACAGCAGAAGCTTCTATAAGTAGTCTGTGTCAGTCTGCATTCACGGTGCTTAGTTAACTCAGCCTTTACTATACTAGATGTTGAAGGCACACACTTATGGAGTCTTCTCTTATAGGTTAACATTTTCATTGGAACCGTATTTCAGAACAGAGTGATGAGTGCACTGAAGAATAATGTTGAAAGACATAGCTCTTAACAAATGTTCATGAGCAAGAAGAAATGATGTAAGAGAAATATACATTGTTTGTCTCCAAACTTCCACACTCCTGTGTGCCAAAGGTTAAAGCAGGCAATTGTTAAATTCCTTTCTACCTCAAAAATCCTATGATGCTCTGGCTTAACTCTTTTTTTTTTTTTTTCGCTGAACTTGACCACTCCCAGTAAGTTTTTGTCTTTAACCAAATACTATTAAATTTCAGGGGTTGGTGGAATGGCTCAAGTGGTAGAGCGCCTGCTTAGCAAGCATGAGGCCCTGAGTTCAAACCCCAGTACTCCCCCCGCCAAAAAAAAAACCCCAAATACTATTAAATTTCAGTAAAGCAAAACCACTAAGGAGAGATAAAAACAACTGATGGCAGCACAGACTGTTCCCTAATCAATAGAAACATGAACACCCATTATAAAAAATAAGAAATGCAAACTTCTGATGTAATTGCCAAAATATTCACTATATCCCTTTGGATGTACTGTATTCTGAGTCCCCAATATAATCTGACACATAATAGGTCTCAATAAATATTTGCTAGGCAAGTGATTCAGTCTTACCAACAATTAAAATGCCAGTTAAATTCATTCACATCTTGTGGGTAGGGGGTCTATCTCAGTGGTAGAATGCTTGCCTAGCATGTGCAGCACCCTGAGTTTAAGGCCTAGAACCATCAAACCAAACACAAAACAAAACACCAAACATTCAGATCTCTAAGGTAAAGATATCTTTACTTATGGTTAAGACAGTGGCTGTGGAAATCTGTATGTATCTCATAATTTATCCAAAGAATTAGACAAATTGCCCAACAATATTTGATAAAATATGAATGTGTATACACACACACACACACACACACACACACACACACGTGTAAGTATGTGAGAATGGTGGTCTTATTGTATGTGTAAGAATGAAAAACAGGAAATGCTCTAGATAACCAATGATAGGGAACTGGTTAATTGAGATAAGGTGTATCAGTTTAATTCAATCAAAAATGATACAATATGTATTTTTGTTTTTGTTTTTTTGAGTCAGGGTCTCTTCATGTAGCTTAGGCTGGCCTGGAATTTGCAATGTAGCCTAGGCTGGCCTAGAACTCAAGATCCTTCTGCCTCAGCCTCCTGAGTGTTGGGATTACAGTATTCATATCCCACATCTAGCTGGATGTGTATTTGTTGATAATGAAAGCTATTTATGAGTGATGTTAAGGTCTAATAAAAAGTTATGAAGGCTAGTGGAGTGGCTCAAGTGGTAAAGTGCCTGCCTAGCAAGTGTGAAGCCCGGAGTTCAAACAGTTATGCATAGAATTACCATGACCCAGCAATTCTACTTCTAGATAGAATATCAAGAGAAATAAAAACACATTCCCACATAAAAACTTGTCCATATATGTTCATAACAACATTATTAAAAAAATCCAAATATCTACCAATGAATAAAATATGGTAAATTTACACAATGGAATATTAATCAGCTATTACAAAGAATGATGTATTGATATACATACTGTAACATGGATGAATCTTTGAAGCATTATACTAAGTGAAAAGCCAGTTATGAAAGACCATATGTATAATTCTATTTATATGCACTTCCCAGACTGGGCAAATCCAACAGAAGGAAAGCTAATTGATGGTTGCCTGGGCTGGGTGGAAAAGAGAAGTAACTGCTAATGGATAAGTGACTTCACCGGGTGATAAAAATGTTCTAGAATTACATAGTGGTGATAATTTCACAACTCTGTGAAAGGGGAAAGGACAGTCTCTTCAACTGGATATCCAGGTGCAAAAGCATGAAGCTGAACCTTTACCTAATATCATATAATTATTAACTCAAAATGAATTAAGTATCTAAACACAGGACTCAAAACTATAAAATTCTTGGAAGAAAACACAAACATCAAAAGATAATAAAATGTGCTTCATACACATACACTATAGAATAGTATTCAGTATTAAAGAAGGAGATCCTGTCACAGGATTTTGAGAGACATAGGCTAGTCTCAAAAAAAACAAATACTGTATGATTTCGCTTTTATGAGACATGTAGAGTCATTGGATTTATAACGACAGAAAGTAGGACAATGGTGTCCAGTAGCCTGATGACAGCAGAATGAGGGGTACAGAATGTCAATTTTGCCACATGAAAAAGTGGGGATTTGTTGCACAACATGAAAATACTTCATACTACTGAACTCTACGCTTAAATGGTTAAGATGTTAGAAAATAAGGTGAATTTTATAATATGTGAAAAGTTTATACAAAAAAATGTTATGTGAAGATTTTTAAAAATTCTACAAATAAAATAAAATATATATGTATATATACATATATATACATGCATGTATATATATATGTATATATATATATATATGTATATACATATATATATATGTATATACATATATATATACATACAATAGAAGTACTACATAAAAATCTATTCAAAAGTTCCAAGAGTGTTTAGATCATGGGTAAAAAAAATCTATTTTCAGTACTTTCTGTACTCAGGGCCTAAAGCAGAAAGGTAATACCTGAGCTGGAGTATTTGTAGTTGCAGGAGATGGTGACTCACTAACTTTTGGCTCACTGGGGGATGCGGCTGACCCCTGAGAATCCTGGCTGGCTGGCTGGTCAGGTGAGAAAGCATCACTGCTGTCTTCATCAAAGGAGAAGTCACCTTGAGTGTGGGGACAATCCTCCTTCCCAGCGCCTAAAGAAAGAAGTGATTGTTAACTGAGGCTGGCCTTGGAACACCAAGCTTAATATGAAAAAGAAACTGTGTCCCGTAAGATTTTTAAGAAGCTGGTTAAAAAAAAAAAATCAAACACAGTGCACCTCTCAATGGAAGCACAACTAACGATAATATATTCTCTTTTTTTGGGCAGTACTGGGGTTTTTGTATTTGCTAGGCAGTTACATTTGTTTTATTTAAAACTTCAAAGTTTCTTTTGAAAGATAGCAAAAATCTTGCCTATAATTGCTTCCTTAACACTGGAGTCCACAGGAAGGATGTTCTTCTCCACCAGCTCCATGGGGCCAGGTCTTTGAGCAATCTTTTCATTCAGATCATCAGCTAGACGAGCTCTTTTCAACTTCATCTGAGTAGCCTGCAGGGATGGCTCTGCAAATGTTTCTAAATGAGGAAACAGTTTTAACCATTAGTTGGATTACTGTTTCTATTTCATAATGTTACTGCAGGCCAACTACCTGAACTTAAACTGGTTCAAACATATTTATGTGTTCTCAACATCTTTATATAGAGAGAAAATGATGTTTTAAGAATGCTCCAGTATATACTTTAGTTATGGGTAGCTTTACCTGTCTATACAATATGGATGCCCACAGACTTGAATTAACAGGAACATAAGCCAAAAATGGGTATTGCCATTGTACAATTTACATTTGTTAGGTATTAGAGATACACAGGATGAACAACATGAATGTGGCTCATGGCTCAGAAGTCTATTGCTGTAGATCTAGCTTCACTGGACAGTCAATTCCTGGAGTGGGAGGGACTGCCTCTTAGGACAGATGCTTCTTTGTAGGGGTCAGTGGGAAGAGCTATCATTCATATTTTGGATTGATCCCTATGTGCCTCCGAGTCAGCCATCAAAATTATGAGTTTGGGTATTTCTGAATACATAACCTCGTGTCTAACTAGGAAAATCCAGTAACACAGAAATTGTTTGTATAGGAGCATCAAGTCATATGCTTATAAATGCATAAAGTTGCTACAACAGATGTGAAACTACTATAAATCTCATAACACAATCATTTGCTTTATTCTGTTAATTAGTAATGTTCTTGGTAATAAGTCTTATTAATCACATCTCACTGTTCTAACCAATGTTTTTACTTATTTAAAAATAATGGTATGTTGTCAATCCAAAATTCCAAGTTGAAAGTTGTTTGCCTCTTTAATGAAATTCCCCTCAAACAGGATTTCTCAGAATTAACTAATGTCCTTTCTTTTGTCTGTAGAACATCCCACTGAGGCCAAAGCTCACTAAGCACTCATGGTTGGTAAGCTGCTCTTCACTACACCTGTGCAAATTCTCTATCCACCAGGTGATTTGTACGCTTGCCAAAAGTCTTAAAACAGTTCACATCATAAACTTAAAAAATAAAATTACTGTTTCTTGGAAGCCTAGGTCAAATGCTTTGAAAAGATATGATGTAATACAGGAGAGTCATTAAAAATTCACTTTCAAATTAGTTTGGGCAGTTAACAATTGCAAAAAATTTTGGAAAAAGACCATAAAATCTAGGATTTTAAAACTCAGATTGTATGTTTTATTGCACCATAAATGGAAATTGTTAATGATGTATAATGGCTGGTTTTATGTAGTAAAGATGATGGGTACTCCATTTACTAAACTCTTCCTCCAAAAGAAGGCTTAGCCTTTGGTTGGAATATTGGCATTTATTAAAATATGTGACTATCTCCTATTAATAATTTTCTGTGTAACCAACTGTGGACCTACTCTTGTGAGATAAAACACCTGTAACTGCACAGGAAGAGGATAGGTAGGGAGAATTACTCTAAATCACTCTAGTTCATTTTTCAATGTTTTTATTAAGATCCAGGTAGGAGAGGCTTCTGTTTATCTCCCTTCTCCTATTAATGCCACCCAAGTGATACCAGCAATATGTTTGGAAAGAAAATATTTCCAAAGTAAGTAAGTAGAGCCTGGAATGTTGGTATGCTTCTGTTTGTAGTCTTACTACTTCCTACTTCCACAAGGCTGAGGCTGAATTGTTTGTTGAACTATCAGAAAATAATTTAGACTCTTACCTGCCAAATACCCAATCCAATCAAAATTGGGTTAATGTTAAAATATTGTTGGAGGTGGTTTTAAGATACTTCAAAAATTCTAACTTTAGAACAGATGTCTTAAATATTTATGGTTCATTCATATACACTGTTAAGTTCTTAAATGTTGGGGGTAGTCTTTTTTCTAAATAAATGCAAACCTGGTTCCTTATGATAGTCAAAATATATTTGCTTTGATTTTAATTACATTAGTAAGGCCTGCTGTAGTTAGAAGGCACATGTAAACAGATAGCACTGTTACTACTCAAGCGCTGTCCCTCATAGATCAAGGTATTTTTGGCCCAGAAGACAACTGCTGTGTTACTTACCAGAGGGTTTGCTGCTCTGAAGTCACTTATGCCTGATCGCTGACAGCTGCTGTGCCCTACTACTGCAGCACTGGAAAAGCTTTTGAGAACATGACCCAAAGTGGAGAAAGGTACATACCTCCCACCTCCCATTCATGGACGTGGAGGGCTAGCAACGATCATGGATTCTTCAGGTTACAGGAGACCCTTCTGGGGGTTGTAGAGACCAACTTGGTATTTGGAACTTGTTTACAACATCCTAATGTGGTATTAGCCTGTGCCTTTTCTCTGCAACAAAAGCCTGCTTACTGTTCCACATAGTGCTTTCTCAGTTTGTAATTCATTTTTTTTGGCTGTTCGTTATCTGTCTCTGCTACCAGAACACAAGCTCTGGGAAGGAGAAGCCTGTCTCGCTCACTGTTGGTTTCATTGTCTAGCATTTTGGCCAGTGAACACCTGTAATAATGGAAACCACATCGTCTTCTGAATACTTTATATTCTCATGCCTGGCCTTTAGGATGATGCTATTCCTTAGGTTAAGATGTGATCCTAATATCCTATCTATCTTCAGACCCAGAGACAACAGATATTATTTCAACCTGACAACTGTCTCTAAGTATCTGAGAAGTTTCCAAATTCTTTTTGAATCTTCTCAAGGCTTAAGACACTCGTGACTAGCACAGGATCAAGCTTCTAGTCTTGCTCAATAAATTAGAGAAGCAAAACAATGAAAAAAAATACAACTTGGAATTTTTGACAGAGGTAGTACTAGCTTTCACGAATGCTCTGTCTCTAGAGAGAAAAACATCCAGGCCTGAGCCATATGTTTAGCAAGAATAACATGGAGCCATTTCTCCCAGCCTCCTACGGGATGAGGTTAGAGCACAAGGGGCTTTGGTAGAGTGGGTGGGGTGCTTAGGATAAAGGTCAGATCAGACTGGATTGTTGGAGAGAAGACGGCAGGTGTGGACACTGTGTTTGGTAGACATAAACAGGTTAGAGATTAGGGCTGGACTTGGGGTTATTATATATATTCTATGACTTAATGAGCAGGGCACAAGTCTTACACTGATAAAGAAATCCTCTGGACCAAAAATGTCTTTCCAGAACTGTATGGGAAAGGCACCTATGGTACCACCTGGTGGGAAGAGTCAGTCCATGCACTGGTTATTTGGAGAATCAATCCTTCCCCAATGTCTCTAACATAATAAGCTAGTCTGGGTCTTCATGTTGCCATCCAGTTTGGAGAATGTCAGCCTGTGTGGTAAAAAGTTATTAAAGTGGGAATAAAATGGGAAACTTCTTTTCTTGAGAAAATGTTGCAAAATAAGTAGAAATAAAACTTTTACCTTCTAAAATGTGCATCCTGACAAGTTCAGAACGATCTGGTCGACTCCGAATCTTGTGTTTCAAAAAGTTTTCGGTCTTAAAAAAGAAAAAGAAGTGCTTGAGATTTATTGTGGTTTTAAATTTTCTTCAAGGTTCTCCCCTTAAGTAGACTGCATACTTTTTTTTGTCATGTCTTTGAGAGAAAGACTAGAAGTTAGTATGTGGAGAAACTAGTATTCAAAGCATGATTTAAATTGAAGTTATGTTGGTATAAGCACTTTATAGGGTTTTATATTAAAATGTGGGAAAGTCAAAAGCTCAACATTTTGAAGATGAATTTTGAATGAACACAGAACTTAATCATTTAAACATCTCAAATCTAAACTTCAGGACAAGCAGAAATCCATTTGAATATCAGTATGTCTAATTTGAGTTCATATTCTCAATCCTATTTTCTTAATCAGAACTGTACTCAATTCTTGAACAATGGGGCTTTAAAATGAGTTTTGTATTTATAAGACTCTAAGAGATCATTATTACATTCTGGGGAAACTGTTAAGGAATTTTTGGAATATGCTTATTTCATTCTTCATGATAGAAGTTATCCCCCAAAACAGCCAAAACAATCAATGTGCATAACACTACTTTTAGAGAAAAATACTCCTGTGATATGCAGCTCTAATGGAGCCATCTCAAGGAATATAGAAGAGTGTAGCCATGTTCTCTGACTTGGCCACACTCTCCTACCATTGGTTGAATGTACAGGTCACCTAACGATCTATATCAACACATCAATCAGTTGGCTGTCCCCCTGCTGGGGTAACAAACAGCAGAATTACTTTTCTGTTAGGTCTCAAAAAACTGTCACTGTGCTTTGAAAGCAAGAAAGTGAAGAAGTGTGAACTAGGATGCAAAAGAAAGTAATCCCTGTGCTTTCTGTCTCTGTGGCAGCCCAGATTGAATTGGGAAATATGTCGACAGGAAAAAAAAAAACTGAAGAAGTATGATTTTTTCTTTTATGTACAAAACTATTCACTGGTTTTAAAGGAATAAAATTTAAATGTCATCTATTTGCTGCAAACCTCAAAGATCAAACTTCCCTAGTATACATGCTGTCCACACCATGTATCTTCAAGATATATTTTCTCTATTGACACGTTTAGGGGTAAGATTTCTACTTGTCCACAAGTACTTTAGAATAAAGCAGAGAAACAAACTATTTTAAAGTGAACTTTCTTACTCTGGCTCGTTCCAAGCTTTTTATCTGTTCATGGAATGCCGCTGGGCTCTTCAAAGCTGTGAGGAGAAAAGAAATCATTTCCACGGAGTAAACAGAGAAGCTCACGCCTCAGTCCAGTGTTACCGCATATCATGTTGATAATCCTAGTAGTGCACATCTACAGTTCCATTTATTTACTAGTTTCTTTAGGAGATCTGAAAAATTTGAAACTTTAAATGTTACAGAATTTAAATTATGTATTCACAAATAAAACATATGAGCATTTAAAAGAGTTGTAGAAATAATGACAACATCAGGTCAGACCACTATCGGGACAATTTCCATCGCCAGGGACCTATTTGTTGATTCCTTTTGAGTCTTTGCCTCTTAATGGCTATAGAAGCTATTTGAAAAAGCCCACATGGCCTGAGCAGTAACCTAGTAACCTAAGTTTGAACACGAGGACACAGAGCATGTTCTGTCCAACCAATATGAGGTAGCATTTGTTCAGAACTCTGGCCAGTCACAGTTATGCTGCTGTTAGTCTTCATGACCATCTCGCAAGGTAGGAATCAGTCCCGTATGGATGAAAGGCTCTAAGGATTAAGTGATTTCTTGAGATCACATAGTTAGATGGTGGTTAAAGTGGGATTTAAATCTAAGATTCTGATTTCAAAAGGTTCATGTTCTTTCTACCATACCACAATGCAACACACTCTGAAGAAATATTGAGTCTTTCATATGCTAACTACGAGTATATTAAATCATCTAAAATCTCAGCATAGGGTTAGCAGTGCTTAACAAAACATCACCTGCTACACAATTTCTATCAAGTATACTTGTAAAATCTCTTCTGCTTATGTGTATCATTGCTTGAGCAAAGCCTGCCTGTGTAACCTCAGGAAGTCAGGTGAATAGATGGGCTGGGATGCTTATCCACCCACAAGGATGAGGCTTCCTTGGATTGTCAACAATCAGCTCTTAAGCATTATTTTTAGCCCTGGTCCTTGAGGTACTGCAGAGGCTCCCAGGAGTCCAGTAAAGTTGGTTTGGCTAGGGACCAGCTCCCCAAAGCAGATAAGAGCTGGCTTAGTAGTGGTGTCTTAAATACCTCATAGAGAGGAATATGGTGGTAGAAACATCTGAGTGATTATCCACAACACTGGATCTAAACTATTTAGATACTATCAACAGTAGTCCAGAAAAAAAAAAGTTTCATTGGGGAGAAAAATCATTACTTGTCACAAATCAATAAATGATTTATGGGCAAGAAATGATTTAGGAGACTGGAAGAAAAATTCATTTTGTAATTTCTTTCTAATGTTTTAAAGCCAAGTAAGTTAACTGTTGGAAAACTTTTTTTAGACAAAATCCAGATAAATAATCCCATGGTTTACATAAAACAACCATACTTCCTCTTTAAAAATATAAAATTACCCCAAAGCTGGTGGTTAAAGGTAAAGAAGACAATTTAAATAAATACTCTAAAATTAATAAAGTCTCAAAATTTCTTGAGGGAATGAACTCCACTGATACTTAGGACGTATCTGTACTTAGAGCAGAAACATTTTTGTTCTTTTGGCAATACTGGGGTTTGAACTTGGGGCTTCATGCTGCTAGGCAGGTGCTCTATCACTTGAGCCATTACTCCAGCCCCAGAAAGATTTTATTAACTACAAATGGAATGTTTATCAGTCCTGTAACTGAGATACACTTAATTACATACATCATAGTACAGTACCAAAGATAATTAATCTGAAGTAAGTTTAAGTAGAACTAGATTGTGAATTAATTTTACATGCTATTTTTGCAAGTCTAATCTCAGATCCATTTAGTAGAGTGATTACTTCAATCATTTAAAAACTAAAATATTAGTTTGAAGTAAAAACTTTAGTGTCTTAATGGTGTTCTTTGTATAATTTAAAATTCAAGTCTATTTTTTAAAGTGCACCTGATTTTAAAATGTATTCTACATGGTCTCTTATAGTTGGCAGTGCTGATAAACCCATTGGTAACTGTGTACTGAATGGATACAACTGGACATGTCCATCTTGTAATGGCACCCCAGAGATGACAATGGCACAGCAATCTTACGTGGCATGATGCCCTGGTCCACTAGCTGTTCTCTTGTCCTCCTCTGTTGCAACCTCAGCTGGAGCACTGTGGGAAGGAAACAAACATCACTGGAGGTATTAGCAAGTGAAAGATCCAGCTCCTGGGGTTCCTGAGAGCACACTGTCAAGTTTTACTAAACATCTATTCCAAAATTAAACAAGAAGGTACCTGGCACCATCCAACTTATGATGCTGCCTGTTTGGGGAACTCTAAAGTTTACTTAGCAGAGTTTTTATTTCACTGATAATCTAATTTATGACTGAGGCTAAGTATTTCCTACTTAAATATATTACATGGTATCCAAGCAAGTAAACCAGAACACTTGGTTTCTACCTTGCTATTAATAAAGAACTCACATTCACAGAAATAGAAATGTGAGAGTCCTTTACATCCTTTAGGTTCTTTTTTAAATACGTTAATAGTAAAATTTTATTTTAAGCAAAGATTGACTTGTTTGGAGGGACGTAGTTCATCAAGAATAAAATTTAAGTAGCTTAACGAAGCCTAAGTACATATTAACTAGACCTATGAAATATTACTAATGACCTAAAAGGCAATTTCTAAATTAGGAGTTTAATGATCTTTACATAAACATAATACCATATAGATCTCATTCCGTAAGTTCTAAGAAAGCCAGAAATCAACCAACACCTTATTATTTTAATAGAAGAGACTAAATATTAGAACTGGTAGAGAGCAAGGTATCATCACGAAATATGGACATCCAGTTTGCCAAATTTAATTAAAAATTAATGTTTTTCCAAGATTTCTCAAGTAGATTCCTTTTATAGTATCTATGTATTTTTATGTAGAAAAGGAGCCTATTTCATAAAAGAAGAATACACGAAATGATGCTGAGAAGTATTTCTTTGGGTTGATTAGACATATGTTTAATTTTAAGCTTTCATTTAGGTTTTTGTTTCAAATCATGGATGAAAACCAAGGATAGGATGATTGAGGCTGTGCTAAGGGTTATCAATATGCTTTAAAAAAAGCAACTATGGATGTTTCTTCATGGTGGAGCGACAAGACAGAATTCTTCAGCGAGGAAGATTGCTGGAATGAGAAGCTGGCTCAGAACCCAGTATATGTGGTGTCCCCTGCAAGCAGTGAAGCCTGAGGGTGCAGGGACCATGGCCCTGACTGCCCTGGCTGGCATGTGGTCTTCTGCTGACTGCAGAGCACAGCTGTCTTACATATACTTCAAGAAGAACCTGAACTGTACAAAGGCTCTTAAAAATATTCTGTTATCTTGATATATATGAACATCGTTCTTTATTGAATACAGAAATGGGTTTGTTAGTTTTGGGGCTACACAATCATGCTTCACTGATTACCTCCTTTAGAGCTGAAGCAAATGATGTAAGATTCTGTTACATGAAGTGAAAGAAAAATTAAGTTTGGAAAGGTAAATGCACATTTCTGACATTAGAATGTCTGGTGATACTCTGAGTCAGTTGTGTGCAAACAAATCTTTTCCTGATGCAGTTTATCAAGGATGGCATGTTCCCATTGTACTTTACCAGGAACAAAAATAACCAAGGAGTGGACTGTGGATCTGATAGCACCCAGTGGCTGTGTTCTCTACCATTCTCCTAGGAACGCTGATGCCAATGCTGGGTGGTCATGCACAAGAGACAGAATCCTACGTAAAGGAGCACAGGATGGGAGGGGTCAGGACAACTCTAGCTCAAAGGCTGGCAGTATGGAGCACCAGGTCAAGCAGACCCTCTTTGTCCTCTACAGAGGACATGTCAGAGGTCCATGTCAGAGGGAGAAGATCCAGCAGCATGGTCCTTCCATTCTCTCAAGGAGCCTCAAAGAAGGGCAGAAAAAAGAAAACAACAGAAATATCAACAGGTCCCTTTTTTATTTCAAATAAAAACCACCCCCCAAAGCACAAAATGTCTGAAATGTTCAGAGAGCGACAGATGTATCCAACACGGTACAAGTTCTGGGTGAATGAAGTGTAAATTAACAACAAATTGATTTGCAAGCCCACTGATGACAATAGCTAATTAGTCTTGGAAGTATCTCCCAACTGTGTATTGGTCATTTCAGAATGCACATGCACCAGGAGAGCAGTCCTCTGGCCGTATCTCCAATGACTAGAATTGTACTGTTATGTTGATATGCAAAAAGGCACCTGTTACCAGGAGGGCAGCACACAAAACCTGCATGTCACTATACCTATTTCTGGTCTCAACACTACTGGATGGGCTTCCCCCATATCAACTAGTTCTCCATCTGAGCACATCAACTGAGTATCTATCAGTTCAGTTCAATTCAGACCCAGGTACATAGAGTTAGGGTCTGACACCCAAGACTGCTGTTGTTTCAGATGCCAGTCACTAGTCTAGGCCTCCACGAAGTTGGAGATTGCGACAACACCCTACTGGACTCAAGAATTTGCTAGAATCAGTCACAGAATGCAGGAAGGCACTTTATCATTGCTGATTTATTATAAAAGATATAATTCAGAAACAGCCCAATGGAACAGTTGCACAGGACAGGAGGAGCAGAACTCCCAAGTCCTTTCCAGGCACACCATCCTTCCCTTGACTATGCATTGGTCTTCCTAGGACTAATTCTTCTAGGAATGAATGGCTGAAGCCATTCAGGGCCTCCAGCTACTAGCATCTTGTTAACATATCCAAAACAACAACAAAAACTTCTTACCATGCTGAGGATTGCTAGGATCTAGAAAGAGCTCTATGTCAGGAACTGAGAGCAGAATTTATTGGTACTTCTTGGGGTCTGCGAATGGTTAAGAGACCCTGAAAACAGAGTCCCTGACTCTTCTAATGATCCAGGAGGCATTTACTGTTGTGGGTCAAGAGGCTTTATCAAGCAGACCCTCTTTGTCCTCCACAGCCTCCTTGTTCACCCTAGGGTGTTCTCAGCTATGTGGAGGGAAAGGTAGTCCAGAGCACTGATTACCTGGCCCCTTGCACAGCAGCTGTGTTTCTTAAGAGCAATGAGGAAGCTGGTATGCTTCTGATCTCTGGAAAACTCAATACACTCTTCAGGTGTGTTGAGACAAGATCTCATTTCTAGCTGCAGACTGAAGACTGACACTGGTCCAGCACCATGTCCTGTGGTGGTGGTTGTGGTGATACAGCTGCCTAAAAAGTCAGTCTCCCTGACAATGGTCTCATGTCTACAAGAGTCTTCTCTCGGTGCCTCATGGGGTAGATGAATTGTGTAAATGAGTTCTTAACTCACAACCTCCATGCTGTTAGTAAGTTGACTGACATGTAGTTGCATCATTGCCATCTTGAAAATTATTGCATGCAAGCAAAGAATGCAGGTGAAGCTATACAATTTTCAGGAGGAAGAACACTTCAAAACACTCAGTGACAGTATCTACATCTTACAGGAAACAAAACAGGTGGGGAGGGGGTATAAAGGAGAATGGTGGAGGGGGTGAATTCAAATATGATATACTGTAAGAACTTTTATAAATGCTACAATGTACCCCCACCCAGCACAACAATAAAAAAATAAATAAGAATGGGAAAAAGAGAAAACAAAAGAGGTAAGTAATAGAGCACAATAGAATTCATGTTACAGTTTACAGTTATAGCACTCCTTAAGTTTAAAATTAAGGTTTAAAACAGGGCTTAAAACTGTCTCAATAAAGGAAAGAAAAAAGAAAGGGCTGATACAGAAAAGTATTTCATATGGGTGGTGTTATATTTTTTTGTGCAAAACACTTCGACAGAGCTGAGTGCAAAGGCATATTATAATCCTATTCTATATAAATGATGACACACCTTTTAATGGCTACATTAGATACTCTGCTGGGTGGACACACCATAGTTGACTAAATATCTCTACCTACCACTTAGGTTGTTTCCAATTTTTGGAAGTATACACAATGCTGTGGTGAAAGTTTTGTGTACAGAGCTCATTCCTCAATTCCTATCACCTTCTAAATTAAAATTCCTAGATGGAGTAGTACCTCTACATGAGCTATACTGGGAAGTCATTAAGTACTGAGACTAATTTCTTTGGGCACAAACCATCTTCTTTTGGAATTATAGTAGAGTATGAGAACATGAATGCAGATGACTTTCTGCCCATTTCATTTAGAGAAAAAGTTTAATTACTGAATTTTTCCAAGGTGCTGTGTCTTTATTATCTCTGAGGGCTAACATCAATGTTTTCTTTCCTATTACATGTAAGAAATTAATGTAATTTTGAAAATTTTACTTAATGTTTATTCCTTGTCACAACTGATAAAAGCAGTATTATGTCAATAGAAGTGTTTTGAATTTGCTCTATTTTTATACAAGCAAAAATTTGATCTTAATCACTACTCCAAAAAAGATAGTTCATCCGTCTGGAAATGTCATTTCTTAGCACTACAAATAGTTCAGATATCAAAAAAACTCTTCTTAAATGGTTTAAAGTGGCAAAAAAAAAAAAAGATTACTTGCCAATACAAAAATACCTTAAAATATATGTCACTGTCATATTTATATCTCAGTTCAAAAATTTCAACTGATTTTTGAAACAAGATGGTGTCTATTCTGTTTTGTTTCTATTAGTTTTGAAATGTATCCTTAATATGATGAAATTAAGGTGATTTTCACTATAAAAGAAAAAAACACATTCTGTAGCATATTAATGACAGAAAACAGTCATGAGATGAGCAGGACAAAACAAAGCATAGCCTGGGCCCAGGGAGTTTGTGAGGGAACATCTGAGAACTGAACATTACAAAACCAAAGCAGAAATGACAGTTTCTGGAAAACAGAATGGCAGGCAGCTATGGTCTTGGAAGTTCTCTGTGAATAATTAAGATTTCAGTGATGGACTATGAGGAGGGCAAAGGAGGGGAGATAAGCACACAGGGTGAAAAAGCACACCCTCAACCCAAAAACTTGAGCAGTGAAGTAGAGGCAAAAGCAAAGATGGAAAACTAAAGAGCAGCCCAGAGCTGACTCTGAAGTCACTGAAAGGCAATAAATAGGTCTTGGTTTTAGATACGCACTGCCCCCAACAGATGGTTGAGTAGTTAAGAGAATGAAGTGGTTGGA